GTTTTAAAATTAAATAATATTAAAACTAAAGTACGTGTGTGTGTGTATATATATATATATATATACACACACACACACAAATCCCCACTATAACTGTTGGTTACCAAAGTTGTATCCAGAGCTTTAAATAATTGCCACAGTACAATCTTTATGGCTAATCTCACAAATCTCTCTATCTATCAGTCTAACTATATATCTCATTTTATCGATGCGTATGTATGTGTATATATATATACGAAAGCAGATTCGAACATTCCATACACTACTAGACATTATGATGCAACAATATTCAATTAAAGCAACGAGAAAAATTCAGAAAGTTCGTGTAATTCGAGTAACATGACGTCAAGTCACAAAAATTGAACTACACAACTTGTGATTTGTATACAGTTACGTAAACAAACCTGGCATAACTTTCGCTTCTCAAAATAAGTAAATTTAACACTTGTGCTATACTTAAACCAAATACTCACATTAACTTAAACAGTCATGTATGTGTAACACTAAAAATCAGCTTGGTAATGAGTATAGCTAATTAAGTACACTTTTCTTAGATTCTTTGTTAGAAAGATTAGAATGCATTGTTTCATCAAGTGGTTACCCTCATTGTTAACAATATTTTTGGCCAACAATAACATACAATAAGTCAACATTTTCATTCTTTAAGTTAAATTTTGAAATGTGAATGATGGTGTGATTAATTCATAAAAGTGTATTGTAGAATATCCTGCTTGCAAAATATAATTTGGCATCAACATCATTCATGCCTGTTTTCCCATCACTTTAAATAAAAGTGAATGTTGAGCTTTTCAAAGGGGAGAAAGACAAATGCTTAGACAGACACTACGGTTTACAATATACATAAGATGTGTGCACTACTGAAATAACTTGTTAGAATGATTCATTCTACTGGAGTGCTTTTCCATAACTAACTTACAAACAGTTTCAATGTTAATAGCAGTGTCATGATGATTATGTATTAAAGCTAGAGCACTCAGTCTTTTTTTCAGTTTTTGTACACCTCAAGTAATTATTCAACCAGTGAAGAGCAGATGCCAAAGGTTCTAGTGAACATGAACTTAGTGGCAGTATGTCAAAGAGTTTCAGCAACATAAAAGATATTTGGTACACTGAAGCATGCTTTTAACGCAAATTTTAAGCACTCAGCCAGATTTGGGGCCTCTCCTGGAGAGGTATAGAAAGTAGTTTTGTCTCCCATCAATAAAGTTCTTCATTGAAAATATCAAGATTTTGCAAACCTCCCCTATAAAAATATTTAGCCTGTCTGATGTCAGAGATAGAAAAGTCTTGTGTGAGTTTTGATGTCATATGTTTTTGGATTGATGCTGCTTGTTTTACATGTGCATCAAGTCTGGAGAAAAGTTTACTGATAATGTGGTCAAGAAAAGAAATGGTTACTGTTTTCTTAAAGTAGTCCTTCATGGAACTATATTCTGCACAATACGTTGGGCTTGTCATTGACTAACTCATGGCATGCTAACATTAATATTACATTTCTTTGCAATATTACTGCTGTGCTTGAAGATACGATGTGAATAATCATCTACATTCATCTTTACAACATTGTTCTATTAGAGAAAAACCAGAAACAATGTCTTGGCTTGGACCTAGCAAATTTACAGAAACTACTTTCAAGTAGTAAAAGGAATGTTGTAAAGCTGGTAAAAAAAATTATTTCAAAAGATTCCAGTACTTTTAGACAAGTCATAGCATTTTTCTTATCCTCAGTAGCTCAATTGTCATTAAACATTTCAAAATTATCGTCTCCATACGCAATAGCCTCACGCATATGAAGTAAGTATGGATGACATAAATAGAACATTTCCGAACCTTCAATATTTTCAACCCAGCGAGTAATACACACGTTGAGTAATGGAACACGTGATGAAGCTATTCCATACTGGATGCCCTTTGGATAGATTGCCTTTAATAGTTCCACATTTAGTTGGGAATTTAATCCAAATAGTCATTCCTTTAACTTGAACAATACAGTTTCGTATTGGTGGAACTGAATATGAATTTATAATAACAACATTAAGTGAGTGACGCGCGCAATAAGTGTACAAGTCTTTGCTTTGCATATGTTGAAGTTGATTTTGGACACCAGATCTTTCACCAGCCATGGTAGATGCTCATCATATCCTTGACCACACAATTCATTTAGAGATAATCCAATATCTTTGTAATTGCATATACAATAATTGTTGCTCTGACCCTTTGTAGCTTAACAAAGCCACTAAATTCTTCCCTAATTTCACAGTTGTCATCTACAAAGTGGAGATATATTGGTAAAGGTTCCACATTGTCAGAAGACACTTCGTTTGCAAGAACAGAGTAGAATCTCGCCTTTTTTACTTCATCAATAATTTTTACTACAATTGAAACATGTCTATGACATTGATGATGTCATTTTATGAGCGGGAAGATAAATATGTAGCAACTTTTGCCTTGGGATGATACAAGTAAGCTTTCAGTATTTTATCATTTTCAGCATAATGTCTCAACACGGCTAAAAAAATTGTCAGGATTTTTGGAGAATTTACATCTTCGATATCACCACGAAATTCCAAGCTTTATTTTCCTAAAAACAAATTGACATGAACAATCTGATGATGAATATGTTTATCCTGAATTATTCGTGATTGGAGGGTACTGTTGGTAATAATATATCAATTCTATTTTATTGTTACGTCTCCGTTTGTTAATTAACTTTCCGTAACTTCGTTCCGACGAAACTTTAGCGACACAAGTCCTTACTTAATATTACTGGTTTATTCTTTCCGAATATAACTTTACCCATACACTCAACTTCAATAATCGCGCTAAAACAAACGCTATATCAACGAACGTCAACAATACTTCTGACTGCAGTTCAATTACTCACTATCTACACACACATTATTCCCGTCACGTTGTCACCCTCTTTTATATACCAGACTACCCTATATCTAGT